ATTAGATGGAACAAATGAACTTGGGGTTTAGGTATTTGCAACTGATCAGAAAGCAGATATATATATATATATATATTTACAATCTATTTTCATGTTAGTTGATTTCTTCTCTATCAGTAAACTTTAAACAAATGCATACTTTTGCAAATATTTCAAAACTATACTACTTTAGAAATGATTTCGTCAAAGTATTTATTTGTCAATTGATCTGGATTTTCACTGTCTGGCGTGTTGTACAAACTGATCAATAAGTGAGGAACAATACTACTGTAGTGAAGCAGAACACAGGTGGGGCAACCGAATTGTATTTAACGAAAATTGCAGAGTTACTCAGTAAAATTGGAACACCATATTGTAAAACGTTAATTTGCAAAATATCAGTTCATCATATCGAACTGGTCTGTTCCTGTTGCAAAACATCAATTCATTGTCACTATTCATGCGTTTCATACAAATTCCATTGTGTTCTAACTCTTCGTTTCTTGATCTTCCCCCATCATCTGCTGCCAGACATTACGTTGACACTCACGTCATATACTACTTATAAGTAGCTCACACCACACTACTACACTTAGGACTTAAACAGTAACAGAAGTTTATTTACTAGACATTTAGTTGCATTGTTTAGAACAGTTTGATTTGAGAAAGAGAGTTGTAATGTTCTCTGTTAAGTAAGACATTATTAAGGCCAAAAGTCAACTTAGAAAATGTAATCATTACTCAAAATTATAAAATAATAAAAGGTTAATACAGAAACTAGAAGGAATTCTTTTTTGTAACATGTGATGATATCGATCTGTGTGAATGATTAATGCAAACGATGTTGTTTTCTGTCAACCATAACTTATCAACCAATAAATTATATATATATATATATATATATATATATGTTATATTTCTTCAAAATAGTTCCAATCAGACTACTGGGTGGTTTGTTCAAACTATTTCCTAACAATCAGTACGATTTTAACAAATATGTTGGCCAATTTTTTTAAATGTTTGTAAATTTAACTGTTTACTTTTAGTATTTCACTGACAACAGATTCTCGATTTGTTTTTTTTTTCACATAAATTGTAAAATAAATATTTACAATGAATATTTATAGTGAAGAACTTTTGTTTTAGTTCTTTGTTAAGTTTCGTGTTTTCTTTCAATAAGTGAACTAATTAATTATGGATTTAAATTTCCCGCGCTATAATTAGACTTTATTTCAAGAAAGTGAATTGAACAGTGTAAACAGTTAGATAATGTAAACAGAAACAAGAGCAACAAGAGTTATAGGAAAAAAATTAATTCGTCACTCTCTCTCTCTCACACACACACAGTTTCTTATCTCAAATAAAAGAAAGAGTTCGTTCATGAGATTGAGATGAATGTTTAAAATGGAAGAACTTGAAACCATATTCAGAAGAACAAAACTTATAATTATAATTTGAAATCATCAATCAATCATTGTTAGGTCACCATTAGAAACCTGGAAGCATCGGATGGCCGTTTCGTTCTGGTACGGGACTCATCAGCAGTGCGCATCCACGACTCCTGCACCTGGCAGGATTCGAAGCCGGGACTTTCGGTATTGTACGCGAACGCCTAACCATCGAATCACTTGGCCGGGATCCGACGGTGGTATTTTCTAACTCTACGAGGTGCAGCAGTCGTGGATGCGCACTTCTGAGGAGTCCCATACCAGGACGAAAAGGCCGTCTTTCAGTGCTTCCAGGTTTCTAATGGTGGCCTACCAATGATTGATTGATAATTTCAAATGTGTGAAAACACAATCTCTCGAAAATATTATAATTAGAACTCTAGTTTCTATTTGGAACAACCATTCTAATTTTACTAGTTAAATATGTTTTTGCAATTGAGATGAGTTACTGTATAAAGTAAAATGATAAATTTATTCAGTTTTAAAAATCCCAATGTTCTTACTTTGTTTAAATTTATTACAAGGTTAAAAATGAAACAGCTAAGTAAATGTTAAAAAACTAGAAATAATAATTAGAAAATAGTAATAATAATAATAATAATTGCAAATCCTACAGATGACACAATTCACTTACTTGTCCAGTAGCTCGATCTACATAAATAATACGACCAGTAATATTTGGAGTTTGACCAGATCCGGTAAGAATTGTACAACCAGGTGGTAATTTAATTTGTGATAATACAGTTCTCTGACCAGTGGTAGATGTAACTTGTGATGGCTGAACAGATGGGTGTTGTTGTTGTTGTTGCGGCATTGGCATACAAATAGCTCTTATTGGTGTTAAATTGGAAGACAAAATTGTATTATTTGCCATGATTACATTCGGTACTGGTGTGGGTGTTGTTGTACCAATTGGTAAATTATTCACTTGAGACTTGATTAATTTGACTAGGTGGTACAAATTGATTTTTAGATGTTAATAATAGAGAAGTATGCATTGATGGATAAGAATCTGTGCCAATTATTGCAACATTCATTGGACCAGTAGGTGTCACTGAAAAAACAGAGAAAGTTTGTTTTTTCACGTTTAATTTGTGTTTGCGGAAAAAAAACAGATAAAATACGTATTTGTTTCTACTTTCTTATCATACTTTTTTTTCTTCCGACAATTATCATTGGTGAATTTTAATTATAACAAATAAACAAGTATAAATGATAAAAAAAAACAAGATTATAGAGAAATAAAATTAGAACACCTGATAAAATTATGTAAATATTTGTGATATGTCAACTATTTTTTCCTCTCAAAAGGAATAAAAAATGAGAAAAATATTTATGTTAAGAAGAATTGCATAATGGAATGAACTATTCTGATAAATATCAATTATTAAGTTAAATGAAATAAACCAAATGTTTATGAATATTACTGGTGTAGTGGATACTACTCACAATATGAATATTGTAAGTAGTATGCAGAGGAGCGTCGCCTAGAGGCTACTGGAGAGAAGAGTCTCGGATCGGAATGCATGACGTGGACATGAGAAGAAGAAGAACAGCCAATTAATCTGGTTGTTTTTTTTGCACAATGAAGCTTGAAGATTAGATGTACACACATTTTCTTCGTAAACTGTGTCTTTTCTAAATATACTACTCTATTCCATCCGGTTTTAACACATTTGTTCATTACATTTGTAACCAAACCAGTTTGCTTAAACCAAGAATAAAATATCATTAGTATGCAAAGCCTATATACCAAATACATATTTAATGTACTAAGCTTTGAGTCACGATAATATTCTGTTGCCTTAGCTGACACAAACAAAGTGTAGTTCAAGACTACTGGTTACAGATTGAAGGACAAGAAGTTGAATCTTTCCATTGGTTACTTTTATGTACAATCATTGATTTAACTTTATGATTGTAATGAAATTATTTTTTACATTAAGACTTTTTTAATAAAGAACTGAGAACAAAATACTCAGTTTAATAGGTATTTCTACCAAAAATACATAAATCGATGCTTTTAAGATTAATCTTTAACCGCTTTTGTATTGAGTTTCTCACGAATTGAACTATAATCGAAAGTCTCTGGTGTAATTAACTTTCAAGTTGGAAAGCATACATACATAAACACAAACGTTTAGCTAATCTATGCCGGATATTCGATTAAATCTTTTTATTTTTTAGTTTTTTTGTCATTCAAATAAACAAAAGAGCCACCATTAACAAGATGTATGACAGATTATTAAATGTGAATTATCAAGCAGATGACTGATCATAAGATTTAGTTTTGTTTTTTTATCGCTTGAATGATTGGTAAAAGGAAAACAATTCAGATTGAATATATTGGTGTATGATTATTACTAATGTCAATTTATATACATATTCATTGTCAAATCAATTCTATATGAATCAAATGAATGAATGAATTCATATTTTACCATGGTTTCATATATTTAAAATCCGATGAAATGAATTCATTATGTCACTGAAGAAAATAAAAAAACATTTCACGAAAGAGACATGGCTTTCCTTCAGTAAGTGCATCATTTGAAAATTGTTAAGAATAAACCTGTCACTACTTGAACTATCTCAATGTGTATTAATTTATGTACACTGTGAAACTATGCAACATCTATCTTCCTTTGTCACTTGAGAATAGTTTATTATTTTTCTGATAAAATTGTCTTATAGCGCAATATCATTCTATTTTATTATTATTATTATTCATTATTCTGTGTAAATTTAACTACCAGTGTGATGATAACAATTGAATACATTTTTGAAACCGATGTGTAACTTAACAATCTTCACAACCCCGTAATGCAAATTACCTGAGCACACTAGTAACTAGCTTCGTGAGGAATCTTCTCCGAGTTCTAGTGGGAAGACGTGATCACTGTGAAGTTCAACCTGTTCGGGTGTAGACAATAACTACCGAAGACTGTGTATGAGGTTGCGCAACTCCGTGAATTGATCAAGTTAGACATTAACACCGTTAGATACCGGCTCAGTGGTCCGATGGTTAGGCGTTCGCGCACAATACCGAAGGTCCCGGGTTCGAATCCTGCGAGGTGCAGGAGTCGTGGATGTGCACTGCTCATGAGTCCCATAGCAGGATGAAACGGCCATCTTTCAGTGCTTCCAGGTTTCTAATGGTGGTCTAACATTGATCGATTCATGGTTTCAAAAAATGTGTAACTTAACAATCTTCACAACCCCGTAATGACAATTGAATAGATAAGATCATGAAGAAAACAAACTAGCTCATTGAAACGTTTTTATTTATTTATGAATCAATTTTATTATTGTTTTAATTGTAACATTCATGTTAGACTATTATGGCAACAAAAAACCATTCATAATTACTTTGAATACTTAAATTAATACCGATAAAATATCTAGTTATTTTTGAAATAGGCAAAAAACAATTACTGTTCGTCTTAATTAACTTATTATATTGATAAACTGCTATAGTTTTAACGTACAAACAAGCAGTCACCTGTTGAGCATCTTAAAATTTACAAATAATACATCGCGAGTTACAAATATCTCCACAGTTATTAAACTTACCATTAGGTTGAGCAATCAGTATACCGGATGCATTTGGCATAACATTTCGAGGAAGTGAAGCACGCCAACCGGATTGTGGAGCTGATGAAGGTCTAGGAAGCGCTAGATTAGATACAGATAAAGGACGAAGATTAAGTTTATTTGGCCAAACAATATGACCAGGATAATCAGAACTAGTAACTGGTATAGCTTGTTTATCATCAAGATGTGGACTACCTGTTGGGCTAGCAGAACCTGTTGGTGTTCCAGCAGAAACAGAGCTATTTATGGTATATGTTCCAGAACTAGCTGTTCCCATTGTTGAAAATAAATGTGCATGTGGATTTATGCCAGCTATAATTACTTGACCTGCTACTGAACCACTTCTTCTTTGTTTTAAAGTTTGTATATTCTCTGGAAGTATTTGATAAGATCCAACAGAACCGACAGAATTTGATTGGCCAACAACAGGAATTGCAACAGCAACAGATGAATCTGTTGGCAAAAGATTACTTGTTAAATGAAGTCGTTGTGAAGGATCTGTTTGTGGTCGATCACGAAAAACAACATTCTCTCGATCAGATCGTGTAGAAGGACCAAAATCTGAATGTACAATTGCATTATCTTGATTGTCATGACTATTTCTCAATGCATTATCTTGTAATTTCAAACTACCAAGTAATAGTGCCGATGATTCAGTGTTTAAAACACGACTAGTAGAAGATGAGCTGAAAGTAAAGGTCAGACAAATTAAAACTTTATAAATTAGCGATTAAAATGAATGAAAACCACAAATCAAAACAACTATTTGTAGGCACATCCAGGGTAACATTTTAGATATGCTATTGACATTTTTCATAATTATATTTTTACACGGACACACTGGTGGGTACAAGTATGTTTAGAAAATGAGGGATTTTAGATTATTTAAACATAATAAGTTGTGTTAATCGATTTCCTTAAATTATATGAGTATGGTAAGTAGTAGGCAGACGTTAAAATATACAAATATTTCATGCTATTCCAAGTTAGCGAAGCATTTTTCCATGACACTGAGTCAAAATTTACTGATATTTGAGGTATAAAATCTTTTTCATCTTAATTTTAACCAAAGCACCGTCGAATAATCATCTTTTCTTATAACTTTATCATTTCAATCAAAAAAAGTTAAAGATCACTGGAAAAGTTGCAGATTTAGGATACTGTTTTGTATTTATTAGTTCATAATGTTATGACATTGAAAATTTTCGGCAAGTAAACGATATCTGCTTAAATGAACAGTCATCATATCACATATTCATACTATACATGTGTAGTGCGCTCTACTTATAAGTAGTATATGACGCGAGTGTAAACGTAATGTCTGGCAGCAGAAGATGGAGGAAGATCAAGAAAGGAAGAGTGGGAACACAATGGAATTTGTATGAAACGCATGAATAAGTGAAATGTCAGACAATGGATTGATGATGGATTGAAGATTTGCAAATTAACCGTTTACGATATGGTTTTCCTATTTTACTGAGTAACTCTGTAATTTTCGCTAAATACAATTCGGTTGCCCTCACCTGTGTTCTCCTTCACTACACATGCTGCCCATACATGTAATATGCTATAGAGTTACAATAGCGTTTCTTTTATTTTTTTGATTGTGAAAACCAACATCAATGTATAGCTATGGAACTTCACAAAATTATCTTCAGTTCAACTCTAACAAGGAGTATCAATTTTACTTCAAGAGAGTAGATAGACATCGTTGATTGGTTTTAACTGATATCAAATACCAGCGATTGCCTTTAAATGCTTAACATCTCTACATGAATATATATATATATATATATATATATATATCTTATATTTCATGAAATTTTTCAAAGAAATCCAACGTATGAAAAAGAAGACAAAGGAAAAACTGATTTCCTTATAAAAATTCTTTCCTTTGAGTCTTTTTCTATTGCAAAAAATGCTAAAAACTGAAGCACCCAGACCAGCAATACACAGACATGAAAATAAATATGTATTTTTTGCAGTGAAATAAGAGATTAAATAAAAGAAGTGAATAGAAAGCGCGCGCGAGAGTGAAATAGAGAGAGAAAAAAACTCAAAATGGTATAAGAAAAAATGAATGGTGAATTCAAAAAATAACAAACTTAAAGCAAAGTATACACTACTAACAACTAAAGAACAATTCGTGTCATAGCATAGTTTTCTCACTAATCTAGTAGCACTACTGAATAAATATGAATAATTTTATTAGACAAGATAATATCAAATTCACAAAAAAAAATAAATAAGATGGATAGTTAGACAGATTAATGAAGTAGATAAGATTTTAGATGAAAAATAAAGACGACGAATAATGCCACATTGAATCTTGATGAAAGTAGACAAAACTTAACAAATAAAAATAAATACACATTAGTTTTATCAGAGGCGAACAAATAATCGAAGATAAGTATCCTAATCAATGAGTTTTACTTATGAATGTTTTAATTTATTCATATGTAGTGAAGGAGAACACAGGTGAGAGCAGCCGAATTGTATTTTTATCTCAAATTATAGAGTTAATCGGTAAAATAGAAAAACCATATCGTAAATCGTTAATTTGTAAAATATCAATCCATCATATCTGACTGGACTGTTGTTCCTGTTGCAAACATCAGTCCATTGTCTGACATTTCACTGTTCATGCATTTCCTACAAATTCCATTGTGTTCCCGCTTTTCCTTTCTTGATCTTCCCTCATTTTCTGCTGCCAGACATTACGTTTTTACTCGTATCACATTCTACTTATAAGTAGCGCACACCACACATGGGCATACAAAATTTCCGAATCATACTTTGAATGAACTAAGAATACTTTTTTTTAAAAAAGAAAATCAAGGTAATTTATCTTCAGAATAGATTAAATAACTGCTGAAAGGTGCTGACGAAGTATTTACTGTGCTATAAATGACATAGAGAAGTGGAGAGATGTTTGAATATATACAATTATCTAGTTAGATAACGAATAATTCAAGTTGATTTTAGTTTAGGAGAAGACCTTGAACCAAGCAACACTGAACAATTAGCATATTCCAATCGTCATTTTTAAAGGAATAATTGAAAAAAAACTATCATGAAGAGCACAGTGATATTTCTAATCCACTAAATAATTTTCCTAAGTCATTCAAATTATATCTATTTTTTAAAATGTATGTATTACAAGAAATTTCAAATGAATATTTGTCAATAATTGAATGAAAACAATTTAACAGAAATTAAATTCCACCCGTAGCCCTTTCGAGACCTCTGCCCATCTCAAGCCCGGATAAAAGAGGAGGGTTGGGATTGGGGTTGGCGACTCCATCCCGGAAATTCTTCATCACTTTATCTTTTTCTTTTTAAGTTTATTTCAATAGATTTTACTTCTTGAATAATATCTTTGAACTTCAATCTCTCCGATTACCGCTAATACCTTTACTACCTCTACTACTGTGGTATTCGCATTGACAGTTGTATTTCTGTGCTAATATGGTATGGCAAATTGAACTGATGTATGTACGAAGTTCTGCGTTGCTATTGATTGGTTGATCGAACAGAAATTAGGTGTTAAGTGCATAGAAGATATTAAATGTAATTATTTTATTTGGAATTATATCAGCGACTAAAATCTAAATAGATTTGATACTTTTTTTCATAAAACACTGATTTGAAATTCTTCAGGGAATTCATGAACATCAAAACTTATCGATCATAAATAAAGTCAAGGGCAGATCAATACAAACGTGTATTCAGTCATGTCCGCCTGTTAATTTTATTTATAACTGTAACCAAGAGGTTTCATTTATTCATCAGTGAATTTTAATGAAAATAATATGCACATAAACTGATACATATGTAGAGTGATAATTTTCGATAGAATTCATATCGAATGTCTCACATTAATTTTATCCATTTGAAATCATCAATTAATCATTGTTAGACCCCTATTAGAAACCTGGAAGCACTGGACAGCCGTCAAGTCCTGGTATGGGATTCATCAGCAGTGCGCATCCACGACTCCTGCACATCGCAGGACTCCAACCCGGGACCTTCGGCATTGTAGGCGAACGCCTAATCATTGGACCACTGGGCCGGCATCCAACGGTATTAGTGTCTAACTCTGTCCTAAAACTAATCGTATCCTCAAAATCTACAATTATTTGCTTGATGAGGATTGAACTAGCTAGTTTACTAGATTAAATGTTGGAATTAGTGATATTTCAATTAGTTACGATTATTTCATATAAAATCTTTTTTCTATCTAATCATTGTAAGAGATTGTAACAATCAGTATTTACAGAATAGGATGATTAAGTTTAACTCATGTAAAAGTAGATGATAAGATAAAAATTCAAAAAACTGCAAACATTAAAAGATGTTAATAAAGATAAAAATGGCTAGTTCATAAATCGAACAATAACTGTCCATAGTGAGTCGCTTAGTTTCCTCTTAATAACACATACAGAAGAGAACATTTATTCTGCATAGATTATATTAACAAATATCGATGTAAGTTAAAGAAGGATGAAATTTCTAGAAACAGTCTAATGGTCTACACTCAAACTTGTATCACTCGATCAATGATTAGGTTACTTGAGATGTGGGAAATATCTTAATTTCGGTCGATGTTGCTGCAGTTTAATATTGTGCCTAAATTTATTGGTTATAACTAGAGTGTATGAAACAAAGAAGCGGCTTTATTTTTACACATTTTGAAATCATCAGTCAATCATTGTTAGACCACCATTAGAAACCTAGAAGCACTGGACAGCCGTCAAGTCCTGGTATGGGATTCATCAGCAGTGCGCATCCACGACTCCTGCACATCGCAGGATTACAACCCATGACCTTCGGCATTGTAGGCGAACGCCTTACCATCGGACCGCTGGGCCGGCATACAACGGGTGTTCATGTCCAACTCTGTTTGATCTACGGATTTTGCGCGACCTCACCCATTGGTCTTTGGTAGTTGCTGACTACTCCATTGGTCACGTCTTCTCAACTGGAACTCCGAGAATTTTCTCACGAGGCTAGTCACTAGTGAGCACTGTTACGATATTTTGGGGCAGAGTTTTGGAGGTATGTGTTTTTACACATTTTGAAATCATCAATCAGTCAGTCTGCCACAAAATGATAGCTGCTAAAAATCATTCCAAAAATCACAAATAGACCCGATAAGCTTCGATAAAATACTCCCCACTTTTTTATGAAGAGTTTCAATATTTTTTCCTGTTTGATGCCTAAATTGATGACGTTTTTAGAAGGACAGTGAAGGCTTCACAGCTAAGTCATCAAACTTAAGACAATTTTTTCAATCTGTCATAATGAACCATAAGTCATTTTAACTACAAATATGACAACAGCCAGTCTTTCTACATTTCTTTTCAATCATAATCTTTGATCGTGCATAACTCATGAGATAAATGTGCTTTCTGTTTGCGTAAAACTGTTGTTACGTAATGAATAATGAATTGTTTTATGCATGCATACACAGCCAAAAAAGTAATATGCACAATTTGTCGACATTAAACCTATGAAAATGTTTATTTTTATAATGAAAAAGAGTTAAATAAATAAAAATGTTTACACTAAACATTCACTAATAAATTCTTACAAGTGCAATTTGTTTTAATAAAAATAATGACGATTGATTTTTGTGTTAAATATGTAACCAGTCTTGGGAAAAATAAAACAAATACATCTTTCC